GGAGGAAGTGGCTAGCTCTTCCACTTACACAGAAAGGAGTCATAAAGAAGGTAATTGAATTAGGGCCTTGATGGTTGGATTTGCTTGACAGGATGGAACACAGGAAAGGATACTACAGGCAGAGGCACAGGTCTGCTCATGTTGCATTTGAGAATTATCTGTTTAATGTCTGTCTTCCCCACCAGACTATAAGCACAATGAAGGCAGGGACTCTTATCCACTGTGTTAATTCCTAACCCAGCACAGTGTCTTCTCAATAGATATTAGCAGGTTGATTTAAATATGAGCAGAAAGGAGGGACAGGAAGTGAGGCTGGGGGACTCGGTTAGGCCAGACTGAAGCGCCTTGTGTGCCTAACAGGTAAAGGAGAACCCGTGTAAAGTGAAGTAAGGTTACTTCTGGCAGGTTACTTCTAGGCTGCTCCCTGGGCCTCGCAGAGCTCCTGGAAGCCCGGCCTGTGCTGAAGCCGTCCTGGAGTAGGACCAAGGATCCTATCTAGTCCACGGCTACAGCAGTCCAACCTCCCGGAACATCAGAGCTGCTCCTCAATGCTAGACTCTGAAGACCCTCCTCACAGACAGTATACCAGAGAATTCTCCTCAGCCTGAAGGCCACCCCAGTAGCTAAATTTCAGACCTTCTCCTGTTGCGTGGTTTGTCTCCCCAGTCACTTTGGCCTTTGTGCACACACACAGACATACATGCATGTGCGCGCTTCCTTTCCCCAGGGCCACGTCAAGAAAATAAGGCAGACTTTACATAAAAAGAGGTAAGGCAAACCTGGAACTCCCTAAGTCACCTAACATTCTGACTCACTGGCCTTAAATCCCCAAGTGAGTGCCCCACATGCAAGCGGAGCTCCCCAATGTCCCAGTGCCTGCACAGTGGTCCAGGAAAGGACAGCAGGACAGGACAGTGTCATGGAGGCAATGCCCAGCGAGACCAGGCCTCTACCATGAGCAGCACTTAACACCCACGGGGGTCCTTGGAGGCTTAGGGCCTAGGCCACCCACTCATGCCGCAGACACTTCGTGAGCACCTTCCACTATGAGCCTGTTCAGGGAGTGATACCACATTTGGAAGCAGGTCTGTCCTTTTCCTTCCACCTTTCCTATCCACTTGAATGGATAGAGGGTTGGAGGAACCACCAAGACAAACAACCCCAATCAGCTGAGCCAGCCCACCCTCAGCTACGGAACGTCTAGAGGAGCACAGCTTAACCTACTTAGAACAAATGAGTCAGATGGCTAGATGGGTGGATTGGTGGGTGGATGGGTGAGGAATTAATGTGTGGATGAATGTGTGAATGGATAGATGGATGGGTTTTCAGGAGCCTAGAAAGTCTATCCAGTGACCCCGTTTTTGGGATGAGGGAATGACCATCATTCAGTCATGTATCTGGTTCTTTCCCTGCTGGCTCCAATGGCTCCAGGCTGGACAAGGGTGGTGGGAGGGGATGGCCAGGCCAAATGAGCTAAGTTAAGGAGGGAAAAAAGAAAGAAAACAAAAACGAAAACAAATGAGTCGGGCAAACATCTAGCTGGCCACCTGCTCAGGGACTTGGTTAGGACAAAAAGTTAGCTCTGTAACTCTACAACCCATTCAGGGCTAATGGGACAAAGCAGAACCGGGTCTAGTCTCCTTGTCTTGCCAGAGACTCCCTGTTCAGGCTGATGCCCACAAACTATGCTGAAGTAGCAGAAGGGCTTTGGGGGTGAGACTCGGAATCCTCTGAGCACCCCTCTCCAGGGCTGGCCTGGGGTCTGCAGGAGGATGCCTACTGAAGCCACATCTCCCCCTCAGCTGGCCCTGGTCTGGTGCTGGCCCAGAGCAAACATCTTCCTCCCAAAACCCCAGCCAGAGACATTCCAGGGCCTGTCCTATGGCCTCCCTCAGGAGCCAGGCCCTAGCTGGGGACGCTGGCTGGGACAGAGGGAAGGACAAATAGGTCCCCTCTTCCTCCTTAAGTCTGGTCTTATAGTGATCAGCCCCTGCTGAGGAGGTCCCTCAGTCACAGGAGTGAATATTCTGTCAAGAAAAAGAGGGTCAGTGGGGTTGGGAGACCCCTCAGAGCTCCTCTTATCTTCTCCCAATCTATTGCAGGTACCCTACCCCTGACCTTGCCCAGAGTCTGACGGGTCGCAGAGCCTGGGCTTGCACACTCCCAGGGGCAGGGAGGACACTGCCACTGGGTGAGCCTAAGCTTGTCTCTCTGACCCTGGCTCCTGAGGGGCCCCAGGAAATTCAGTCTGCATTTCTCTCCCCGATGGGACAGGCCCTCTTGGCTAAATACAGAGCTCTCCCTCCCTGTCCCTGCTACCACCCTCCTTCCTCTGGGCTAACTACCACTGAGGCAGTTGTGCCCTGCTCTCCCCCAGATACTGTGCTTTCTCCTGGGCTTTGATAGGGGCTGAGCTGTGGGTGTGTTGGTCTTGAAGATAAATACAGCACCTAAGGAGATCCACAGGCTTCTTTTTTTTTCCTTCTCCTGTCCCCCTGGAGAGAAGGGAGTGGGCGGGGGACCTTCTCCTTCTCTGAAAACCCTAGGCAGAGGGGGCTGGGAGACTAGCTGAGGCCGAGCCCTGCCCTTCCTGGCTCCCGCAGGCTGGAGCACAACAAGCAGTATCTTAACCTTTTCCAGCTCCCTGAGGAGAACATCATAGAAGTATGGTCTCTGCCAAGGGTTCTAAAGCCTTTAATTTGATTTCCCTCACACAGGCAATTGTTGTAATTATTCTGATTAGGAATCATTACCCAGTGCAGCCTCTGCACCCCTGACAGGCACGATGCATCCAGCGGCAAGCTGCGGTGGGGCAGACGGGCCCAGCCGCACCTCCTGGAGGAGCTGACAGCAAACAAAAGCCATCGACGGGGAGTTCTGGGTGAGTTAATGAAGTGCTCACATGCCACAAGAAGCCAACACTAAAGCTAAACAAAAACACCTCCAGTCCCCGGGGCCAGTCCCACAGTGCCACAGCTCAGCTCTCCTGCTCCCCAACCGGCCCGCACACGCTGCCCGGAGCCGGCCAGCACAGGAAGGGGTGGGGGCCCTCCGCCAGCCTCCTGGCAGCACTCGGACATCTTGTCAGTAACCCTGACGGGAACAGCTGGAGATGACAGATCAATGGTTCAATACTCTCAACAGCATGTCACTGATGTGACAGCAAATGTTATTCTAATCAAGCCATAATCATAGTCAAATTACACGGCTACATTCTCAGGAGGGGAGGGAGAGAAAGGCAGCAGGAAAGGGTCAGAGGTTGGGAATTAAAGGTCACTCGACCTACCTCCAGCACTTGCTGCAGGCTTGGCTGACCATCCACCATGGCTTGAATGATCCCGGTGAGCTGAAAAGAAAAAGAAAGAGCCCAATGGATGGAAAACTCGAAGCTGGACTGGACCCTTTCCTTTCTGTTTTTCTCCTTCTGCTGTAAAGGACTCTGACCTGCACTACTTTAGGCTGAGAACCGGACTGAAGCATTGGGAATAAAGTCTCAGGACATACTGTGAACTTCCCGACAGCATCCTGCCCTGAAATGGGGATATACAAGATATGTCTCATACCTGTTTCCACTTTCAATTGCAAAAATAAAAAAAGATGCTATGTGTCGTCTGTATTCAGTAGGCTCAATAACTCACCACAAATTACAATCTAACGTAAATTCACTTCCAGCCTTCACAGAGGCTCCTATAGAAACTTGGGGGATGATCACACAGGACAGGCACACTTGGTTTCATTCAAGTCCACCCCTTCTCTGGGTCTCAATGTCCAGTATTTCCCTACTTTAACATCAGTGAAATACTGGGGGAGTCCCACAGGCATCCACCCTTCAGCCTGCATACCTGGGGCCCTCAATGCTAACGAGCCAAGCAGGAAACAGGCACCTTTAACTGATGGGGAAAACTCAGGCAAAAAGGCCTAAGGTACAAACCTGCTTTACAGAATTTCTGACTCACAGGCCTATGCTCCACCCGGGTCAGGCCTGGGTTGAAACAAGCTTATTGCTTTGTTTTATTTTGTTTTGAAGTGAAAACATCCCTCAAGCACAGACTAGGACAGACGCCTCGAGGGTCTGAGGCAGGAGGTCCCCGTCCACAGACCTGGACCCAGCTGGAAATCACCAAGCCCACCATGCCGCTGGCTACTTTCAGAGACAGAGCGTTGAAGGCTTGCTTGGAAAGTTTTTTTTAAGTGTTGGGGGGGGGTGGATTAAACTCCAATTAAACTATAATTACATTTAATGAATACCAAATACCCAACTCACAGAGACCTCTGGCTCTAAGAGGGAAGGTTATTTTCTCATAGCAACTTACATGGAATGGTAATACACACCTTTTAGAAAAGAAATTTTCATTTTAAGAACGCTGAGTTCCTCTAGGTGGGTTTCTGTAGTTCATCAAGTCATTATTAGGTGGTATTTTAAGGAAGTGTAAGGACACAGCCACTCTATTTTACATTCCAGAAACTGTTTTTATATTAATCTGTATTTTAATTGGGTAACAGCTGCTGCCTACAGACTTCCCATGGTCTAAAAGGAAAATAAATTAGAAAGATTAACTACACTGTTGTTTCGCACGGCTTTAACCCACAGCATGCCCACCCGGCTGGCACCTCCACACCCTTTCCTTGCTTGGGAGACCAAAGAACTGCCCAGCAGAGGGAGGGCCTGAGCCAAAGAGAAGAAAAGGTCCACTGAGGGCTGGGGGTTGGGGTTGGGGGTGGAGATGAGCCCTGGGTCAGCAGCTTTGATCCTGAAGTGCTAAGACTCCTTTTATTTAGTCAGCATCTATTCATGGGGAGCCTACAATGTGCTGGGCCCCATTCTAGGGGTCCAGCAGTGAAGAAAAACATGAAAACCCTCATGGCATCTGTGTGCTTCTTGGCAGCCCTCTTCCTACAGCCAGCCCAGCCAGCACTCAGAGCCCGCACACCTTCCAGAGCCATACGCTGAGCAGGCAGTTGCCCCGTGTTTTGTCTCAGGCACGCAGGAGCCAGAGTCCAGAGTAGGCTTGTTACCAACTCTGGGTCCCGTATCCAGATGACGGACGACTGTTCATGCGCCCACAGCTGCCCTTTCTGGCCCAGCTTCTCTCCTGCTTAGTTCTTCAGGCCTGAGCCACATCCCCAAGCTTGGAGCTGGGGCTCAGAGTCAGGACTATCTTGGAAAAGAGGGCCCACAGCCACTCCTACTTCTTGTAAACCTGCAGTGTCTGTGTGCCAGTCTTGTCTGGTCTGAGTTTCTGGGGCAAGGGCAGGGCTACTCCTCTTGGATCCCACCAAGTCACTGAGATGAGCTGAACTCCCAAGGGCTTCCAGACACACAGGAAACCAATGGAACCCTTGCCAAGAACGCTCCCTCCTTGGAGATGGGACTTAGGTGAGCATCTGTGTACCCCAGAAGCACCTGCTCTGAGCCCCAGGAAAATCAGTGGTGTGGAGAAAGAAAATCATTACGCCAGAAAGGAAAAGCAGGCGTGCTGCTGTACAGGCGCTCTCACGACAGACTGCTCCCGCCGCTTCCCACACTGGGGTAGGGGTGGGGGTGGGGGCTCCAGGATTCTGGAGCCTCTCAAACTCCTCTCCAATGGTCAGCAATCCTAGAATCATCAGCCTAGGAGGAGCCTAACGAGCTCAGCTCCCTCTCTCTCCAAGCTTCCCACACCACTTGGTCCAGCAAGACATGGCTTATGGCTTACAGCTGACTTCCTAGAGGATTTGAACTCAACCTCCAGAGACAGGGGCTTGAGCTATTGGTTCAACTAGAGGCCTCATTCCCCTGTATTAATCCCTCCAAGGATGGACTACTACATCTTATCAGCTCTGCCAAGGCACTGGGTGAAAAGGGGGTAAAATTAAGGAAGTTAGTCCCTATAGGTACCTAACACTGACAATCTGTAAGACACCTGTAAGACTTATACCAGAAGCTGTGAGGGAGAAAGACAATTTAAGTCAATAAATACTGGGAAGTTCTACCTTACGCATAACTTAAATCTTTCATGCTGCAGTTTAAACTCATTCCCACTTGGGTTAATATATATATTTGTAAAACGCTTTCACATCCTCACAATGAAAGGTACTAGAGCAAAGCCAAGTATTATTAAGCTGAGAACCAGGGCTCACAGGCTAAACAGAGCTCAGAGACCTTAACCACTTAAAGCAGGAGAGGTGAGAGTAAGAATTAATGTGTGCTCTGTGGCTCCTTTCACTGAGGGATTACAGATTAACTCCCGCTTCTCCAGACTCGGAAACCACAGGCGAGGGGCTTTTGACCCTGACTGATGACATGGCTGGTTACTGAGATCCCCTACCCACACAAGGGCTTTGTCCAGAAACAAGCTGGCTTCATCATAAACACTAGCAGCTACAGGAAGCAGCGCAGGCTACTCAGTGCCAACAGCGTGTCAGCATCCAGCGCTTACTCCTTTCACAGTTTATCTCCAACACAATCGTATTCTGACACCAAAGACAGTTTGTTGATTACATAAGCACTTGTCTCTGGTGTGCAATCTGATAATCAGACCCACTCTTTCTCCTCAGACAAAGAGACCAATAAATCTCACCCTTTATAAGTACAGGTGCAAGACAAAGCCCTTTACTGGCATTTAGCAAAATGGGTATTTTTCTAGTTTTTCATGACGACAACAAAAAAAGGACTACACATGGTCAGGGACGGTGCGGCCGTCCAGCTGCTGGAGACAGAGATGTGATGAGCTGGAGGAGGTTCTAGAGGTGGTAGGGAAAGGGCCTGGAAAGGAATGAAACACGATCCCGTCCTATCTCTGTCAGTACCATGTCTTCAGGCAGACTGTCAACTGGAACTAAGACAGGACCTCAAGAAGGACAAAGACATGTTCATTACCAGAGCAATAAGTGTCCGTGTGTGGGCTGCAGACTCACCCAAAGCAGGATCCCTCTTCCTGCTGCCAGCACTGAGCCTAGCTCTCTTCCCACACAAGCATGTGCTTGCATGTGTACTCATGTGTCGTGTGTGTGTGCACATGCGCGCACACACACACTAGGGTTCTTAAGAATTTCTTGTGCATGAGAGGAAATCCTACCAGATGCTTAGGCACAATCAGGAGCTTTGGGGTTGTTCCTCACACTTACTAATGAAGGATTCCCCCAGCTGGAAGGACTTCCATCCCTACTCCCCAAAGGCAGCTACTGCCAGGTTGGATGAGGTCTGAGAAAAATGGCCCCCACCCTGGGTCCATGCCTCTGTCTGCATAGTAGTTCCATCTGATATGGAGACAGGGCAATATTTAGATGATCTGAGGTTTTCCTAAGAAGACATTACTTACTCAGAAGAGTAAGTCAGCAGTACAGTTACTCTGGGGGAGACAAGGTGTGGTTGAATAATTCCTTGACAGTATTCATTCATTTAAGGAGCACGCACTAAGTGTTTGCTTAGTACCAGGCCCTAATGATGGGACACAGATGGATCAGATCTAGTTTCTGGCCTCAAGGAACTCACAGCCTACTGGGGAGAGACAGATAATTACAGTATAATGTATATGATCAGTGTTATGTTGGGGTGAGCACAACTCAGCCTGGAGCTCAGGGAAGGCTTCCCAGAGAAGGTGACCCCGAGCAGAGTCCTAAGGGACAAGTGGGGTCTGGAGGAGGAGAGTGGGAACATCGTCCAGGCAGAAGGACCATCATGTACAGAGACTGATTGTGAGGGAAGTGAAGGGGGGATGAAGCAAGGAGATATGAGGCTGGACAGAAGGTCAGGGACCGGGTCGGGGAGTGTTGAGCTGTGGAAGTCTAGGAGCCTGAGACCAAAATGGAGACTCAGTACCTGAGCACAGCCACATCTTTACTTTCTTAACAAGGATTTCCCAACACCCCCACGCCTACTACCATCCAAATTATGTCTGTATGTATGTCCTTGGGTGAAACTTTCTAGAAAAAAGGAACATAGCTTTCATCATCCTCTCACAGTCCCTCTGCCCCCAGCCCTACAAAGAAAAGCAGCAGCAGCCCTGCTCTAAAAAAAAAATCCCTTTTCCCAATACTAGTGAGCATCACTCCCACCCAGGCCAAGCTTCCGCAGCACTCTGTTCCATCCCTAAACCGGTAGCAACCTTGCCAACAGTTGGGCCTGCCTGCCTATGCCAGACAGCCCCGCTAGAACTGGATTCCCCAAGGGAAGGTTGTACACAGAGAGAAGCAGGGAGAGAAGGACAGAGGACACTGCACTTTCAGGCCAGTGGAGGGCTCAGGTAACTGGCTGGTTTACAGAAAGTCTTCCCTTCCTCTCCCCTAAGGAAGGGAGTTGCCACCATCATTAACTTGGTGAGTTTTCAAAAGGGGCAAAAAGGACAGATTAGCACCCCCTGCTTGTATAGGTAATTCCCAGGGGAAAGCAGGAAAAAACAGTAGACCTCAAAGGGAGCAAGAACCTCAACATCATTAGCTGGAATAACAAAAGGCTTGGGGGCTAGACACCTTGGCAGATGGACGACTGCAACCAAAGGTGCACCTGGGTCAGGTGGCAAACACTGGCACCAAGCCCAGGCGACCCTCAGGATCTCATATCTGGGCAAGGTCAGCCTCAGAGCCCACTGAGCCCTCCCACCAGAGGCAGGCACTTGCCCCACTGGGGAAGGCAGGCCCCTTCCCCAGCCTCCTCCACACCAAGGAGATTGTTTTAGGATTACTCAAAAACAGCTTTCCTCCTGTTTCATGTACATGCAGAAAGTAGGTCTCTAAATGAAGGCACAAAGTCTCTCACGTACCACAGCCCCAAGTTCTTAAAAGATTCCAGAAACACTCATATTCTGCCATCACCTCTGTGAGTACATACTCTTGACCATTCTTGTAACTTCACCACAGCCTGTGGCCACCACAGAGAGCTCAACAGAACTCATCACAGGGCGAAGCAGCCACAGTAGGCTTTCTATGCAGTCCCAAGAGTGAGAACTCTTAGGGCACCTCCTCTCTGCCAGTGGCTCTATTGGCTCCAGCAAGCACCAAGAGCTCAGTTAGTCCCAATTTCATTCTGTAAAAAGGAACCAATCCTAACCTGCTGACAAGGTGCCCGAGAACAGTACCAGCCTAGGATAAGGACAAGGACATTTCAGCCTTGGCCAGGCTGTGCTCATACCCCAAGTGGATCGCCCTTCTCTTTCCTTGGTGATGCAGTATGGTTTCCACAAACTCAACCGATACTTCCCACTTTGCTCAAGGACAGAGGAACATCGCCAGAAAGCTAAGAAGGCCTGAATATAACCTCTCCTTTCAAGAAGCTGCAGTCTTCACCTCTGGCCAAGGGGCCTCAAGGGAAATGGAACGGAAAAGAGTCTAAGCCCCAGAAACACCATCCTGCTCCTAGACTCCAAATACCTAGTCACCAGGAAGGGTAGGAATTATAAGGAAGGGGAGATGTTGGGGAAGCTGGAACAGACTGAGCTACGGCTCTCGCTGGGTCTCCAATGACCGGAGTGGCCCAAGTGGAATGACAGACTGTAAAAAGCCAACTGCTGGGTCCAATGTGCACCGGCTTTCACCGCTGATATTATAAAACCTAAGCTTTCCCTAAGCGGCCTGTATAGACACCAGTGATCCAAAAGCTCCAGTCCCAGCATCCCTTGCTGCCCTCCTCCAGGGCCCTTACCTCTGTACAGAAGGGAGTAAGCTGTGGATGGACTACGGGCTGGACATACATGTGAAAGGTAGACTCGATCTCCATGGTCCGGCCATTTAGCTTCAGGATGGGGAACTCAATGATTTCCTGGAATGGCAAAGACACAGAAGAGGAAGAATAAGTTGTTTTGTTAACCAGCCGTTTCAAATAATAACTCAAGAGTCAAGAATGAGGGAGTGTTTTGGACTCATTACCTTCTACCAGGCCAAACCCAAGACTGAGTGAGATGGTGTCAGCTCAGTTACGGTCCTAACCCTCCCGCTGTGCATGTCCTCACAGGTTCCAAGGACTGGACACATGCCCCACCCCCACTATCTCTGGAAAGAGGAAGGAAGACAGTAGGACAATCTGCCCCAGTTTCCGCATCTGGTTCTCTATCAGAAGCTTGTTCACTCAAGCCCCCAAAAGCAGGTCCCCTTTCTCTAGCCTGCCCTAGGATGGGCCTGGATCTCCAGCCATATAGACAACCAGCCGTCAGACCAATGCACAGACTTCTGTATATGAGGTTTAAGTAGAGCTGATGAGTTTCTTCATTAACTTTTACCAAAAAAAAAAAAAAAAGGTAAATAATAAGTAAAGCCAAAGGGGATGCTAAAGAGAAGGCGAACCTGAATAAGAGTAATAGGAGTAGTACCTCCCACCTTTCTTTCAGGCAGTGAGCCCTCCCCCAGCCTGCTCCACCACCACCACCACCACCCCCCACCAACTCAAATCGCTTAGCCAGCCCTTCCCAGTCCACTGGAACGTAATGGAAGAGAAGGAGGAGGAGTGACAATTTGTTTGGTGTCTCTAAGATTAATTTGTCTCCGTTATTTAATAGAGATGCACAGCACCAAGGTCCTGGTGTGCAAACAGGCTTGCAGAACGCTGGCTGTGCAGCACGCCTCATACATCGCTCCTGGGAAGGGAGGAACGCACCAGCGGGGGGAGAGGGTAGGAGAGAGCACGAGCGCACCAGAGAGAAGAGGGAAAGCGAGGAGAGAGAATAAAAAAAATTATTGCTTTTTAATATTCAAAAACAGTTTGCAAAATTTAATCAAAGCAGAGGAAAAGCTAACATTTTTACCACTTTGACATTTTTATTAGCGCTTTCATAAATTTTTAAAACATGAATGGAATTAGTTTACAACACAAAAAAACTGCCCTGAAAACATCTGGAAGAGACAAATAGGAAATAATAAAAAAAATAAATAAAAGCAAAATCCTCCGAGTAAAATTAGCATGTGGAAAAGGCCTCACTGCAGAGAGAGAGAAGGGGGGCTCTGCTCAATCAGTGGTCCCAGAAGCCAGCTCCTGTGGCATCCCTAACCCAGGCCCTCCATTCTAGAGAGGACCTTTCCAGTATCACTAAAATAAGGCAAATTGGTTCTCTCCAGGGACAGCCTGGAGAAGCAACAGTGAAGCAGTTGACACCTGATTGCACTCAGGAAATGGACACCACGGAGTGGGAACACAGAAGGGGAAATGGCCAATCTTGATAGCCCAGGGCAGCCAGGTGTCCTCCTCCCACCCTACCCCCCAACAACCCCACTACTGTTGAGCTTGTGTTGAAAGCACCTATTTTCTTTATCCGACACCTTACAGCAGGACTGAAGACCAAAATCAAGGCAGCCAAATTCATGACAGACATTCTAAGGTTCTGGTTGCCTGGTCTCTCTGGGGTAGTCCCCCAAATGGGGGAGCTGATAGGAGCCCCCTGAGATAGGAAGGGCACAGAGGCTGTAAAGCAGAGGCAGAATGGGGTTGGGGAGGAGGCCCAGGCTGCTGCTCAGACTAGGTGATGCCTCTTCTCCCAACATGAAGAAGGTGGGTACTTACTCCAATTTCCGGGCCTATCATTCCCCACAACACACTATAAACAGGCCAAACGTTGTGCTGAAAAACAAAATTTGAGGCACGTACGCACGCAAAGTAAATATTGGTCCTCCTAGAAAATTAAACGTCCAAGATCTCTAAGCGCTAACGCTGAGGTGGGGCTCGTCTGAGTCTGGGTCACCTGAGTCCTGAATTTCTGACGTCTCCTTCCTCTCCCACTCAGCAGAAGAAATGACAGAACGAGCTCCGTGGCCTGGTGAGTTTGGCTGCCCTGGCATCTACGGAAACAAATATAGCCAGCTCCTCACTAACAATGTTAGCGGGGCTCACAATGAAATTTAACCTGTGACACAACCGTACTTTTCATTTAAACTTTCATTTGGAGAGAAGCAGTGTTTGGAGACCTGCAGTTTGTCCTGCTAATAAAGACAAGTGTTGGGACCTTTAAGGATGCCATTCATCTCTGGCTTTTATTAAATTCAATTTTCTTAAGCCCATGATACATTATGAAATTAGGAGTTGACATTCCTCTGGAAACAAAAATATCTATCAGACACAAATAGGAAAAAATAAAAATAAAAACCCTCTATTACCAAAAATTTATGGTTTAAAGTTGATCTCTTTCCACTTTTTTACAAGCACATGGTTTGTTTTAGATATCTGAAATGCTATTATAGACCTAGAATTTCATTAGTATTTATTATAAAATAGTAAGCGCTTCAGCTCCTGCTCTGACCGGCACCAAGTCAGCGTCCCCAGAAGATTCTCTGAAAACTTGGCCTGTGGGTTTCCCCACGGCAGCTCACTCTTCAAACTTGCATGCTGCTGGTGTCCTCACCCCTGGGGAAATGGAGCCATGCTAAGCACTCACACTCATTTCCACCCTCCCAGAGAGGAGGAATAAGTCAGCCTGAATGAGGGGCCAGGGACACAGCAGATTGGACCTATCATCAACATACTTCTCCGATGTTGCTAGATCATCAGCCAGGCTTTCTCCCCAAGACCAAGAAGTGGGACTACCAAGGGCCAATCTGAGAACATGATTTGCAGGGGCCCTTCCTTGGCACCATCATTAGCTGTTGTTAACAGTGACCTTGCACACTGTCATATTCATTTGAGCGGCTGAGAAGCGAAAGAGGAGCTTCTGACAGAAGACCCTCTGGGGAGTCAGAGCAGAAAGGACTTCGGTATGTCCTACCTTCCCCTATTGCCCAGCCAAGCCTAGATCCTCAAAAGACTGGTCCCAACAGCCCATCCGTGGGAGAGGAGCTCCAATCTGCACCAAGCTGGCACAGCTCTACAGCCAGTGCACCTGGGGCATGTTAAACACTTCAACAGTTTTCAGCTGATATTGAGGTAACTCAGAGAGGTACCACCAAGTTCTAAGGTGATCCCATTAATTTCAAGAGCTTATGAAGATGTGCCTAAGTGCCAGATTCTAGCGGCAATTGCTCATATAATGAAACTGTTATTTCTGTTCCTTCTCCTTTCTCCCTTAATTTCATCATTTCCCTGGGAAGTTTTTTGTTTTTTTAGGAGTAGATGAGTGTCTGTATATAAAGGTTGCACCAGGAAGGAAAGAAGAACCAGTTTGTATTTACCTCTTTTCTTCCACTAATCACAGTTTCATGGTCCCTTACATTTGTATGTCATTTGCATTCAATTAAACTGCCTGAGCATCTACTGTGTGCAGGACACCACACAGGTGTTGGAGTAGGGTTTAGGGGTAAGTCCACTTTGGAGAAGGCCACAGACTAGTGAGCAGAAAGGTCCGTGAATAATGATCAACGCACTATGATATCTTTGTGAAGGAACACACTGAGTAGTGAGGCTTTTCAATTTTGCAGTGTGCTTTCAAATACATTTTCCTATCTTACCCTTATTAATCCTAGAAGATAGGTCATATCATCATCATCACCACCATCATCATCAGGTTATACACCAATGCTATTATGCACCTGCTATTTACCAGGTAGGGGCTGGGTGTAGACACAGACAAATGAAATGAGCCGTCTCTCCTCTCTCTGAGGTGCTTGGAGTCTGGGCAAGGGGTAGAGAGGAGCTTACCCCCAAACCCCTGGAAACATGTGGAAAATGGGGAGTCATTTCATTCCTTTCATCTACTGTTTACTATGTGGCAGACAGTCTGCTAAATGCTTAACAGGAATGATCTCATTGAATCCTCCTAACAACTCACGAGGTGAGAATCATTATTATCCCTATTTTACAGATAAACTAAGGCCCAAAAAGAAGCTGTCACTTGCTCAAGGTTATACTCCTTAAGGGACAAAGCTGGACTCCAAATAGGGAAAATGAGGCTAAAAGAGACTGGGCTAGCAGCTTTCAAAATGTAAAGGGTGAAGAAACATCTGATTCTTTTAGTCTGAAAGGCTGTCTTTAGGGAGCTCAGTCTACTATCTCCTAGGGAGAGGGGCTGCTCTCAAGTTACCAGAACAATAAATGTGGACAATCCAGGCAGAAAGTCCTGGAGGATTGCTACTGAAAAGCCTCCACTATGATGGCCGTGGTGACACAGTACAGATGGCGCTACACGCTGAGTTCGGGGAGGGCAGGAACCATGAGCCTTTAGTATGCATTTCCAGCACCCAGCTCCATTCTAGCATGCAGACCTCACTCACTCAACTTTTGGTGAGTAAACATATGAAGGGGCTGATAAGTGGCAGGACAGAGGCCAAGCACGTGGCTCTAACAGAAAACACTCTGCTTTCACAGAGCTCTCCACAGGACCAGAGAGGTGAAGTGCTCTACCTAAGGTGACAAAAATAATAGATGATAGAGCCAGAATTCAAACCCAAGCCTGTAACACTCCAAAGCACTTTCTACCAGACACCCTGCCTCTCATCTCTAAGTAGTTTGTCATCCTCCCACAATTGCTCCAAACCGCCACCAGTTTTCTGTTTGCCCAGACCAAGAGTTTCCTGGAACACAGGATCTTCAGGGCTAAAATTGGGACAGTTGGTCACCCTACACCATCTGTAAGCTGCCTGCACTGCTAGGTTGTCCAAGGGTGGAGCATCATAAACCCAAAAAGCTGATCTGCTAATGGTGGATGGGAATAGGCCACAACTTGAAAACTAAGAACAAGGCCTCAGAACTTGGGTTTCTCAAAGGATCCATGGTTCCAAATCCATTGTTATCTGCTGTCTTCTTCAATAAAATGCCAGCTGCAAATCTTTTTTTTTTTTTTTAAGGGGAGGGAAGACACAGACATAAAAAGGAAGCACCAAGTAAATATTCTTTTACCTTTTTAA